CTTCATTAATGCAATATTGTCAAGAATCTGGTCGAGCTGGAAGAGATGGTCAACCATCAAAAGCAACTCTGTTATTCTCTGGGCGTGAATTTGGACATTATAAAGCTCAGTTAACAAAGTCATCTGCCTCGCGAGTTCAGTTTAACGAGCTTGAAATTATGAAAGATTACTGTCAAAATGAAACAATGTGTAGAAGATTTGTGCTCCTTAAGTATTTGGATAGTGTGGCAGAAGCCAAGAAGTCCTGTAATTCAGTCAAGCATCAGTGTTGTGACATTTGTGCTATTACTTGTAAATGTTTGTCATGTGCATGTAGTACCTTGACTTTACAAGCTGGAATTTCTGAGTATGAACATGTAGCTTTGAATGAAGCTGATGCAACAGCAGATACTTTGCAAGTACGCTTTTCTGATGAGAACAAAGATKTTATTGTCAAAAGCCTTCATAAATACCAACAATCACTTGGAAGTAATTCAACAGACAGTATTTTTAGTAGAGATAGCACAACAGGATTTACTGATGTGGTCATTGACCAAGTTATACAACATTGTGAACAATTATTTACTGTAGAAGATGTTTATAAATATGTTGATGTATGGTTTGAGGAGCATGCCATGGCCATCTTAGATGTTTTAAGCAAGTGTAGTGTCACATAACAAGTCAAGAATCAGTGTACATTAGAGGAAATTTACTGCCAAACCTATGAAAGTAAGCCCTTGATAGTTTCTCAACATTCCATTGTGGGATGACTTCACAATTGACTATTATTTTTAATTAGTATAATTTTTTAACTTTTCATTTTTATTTTCAGGATGGGAAGGCCTTCTGAGGCTTATGCATATAGGACTATAAGTTAGTGTGAAGTGTTGGAATTTATRCTCACTAKTCTTCATCTTCATTTTCGTCCTCACTGTCAGCAAATTCATCAGTGCAGTTGTAACCTTTAGAAAATTTGTTTATCAATCGTTTTATCCACTTTAACACAGCACTCATGTCAAGGTTGTGAGTGGGAGACTTGACATGGTCAGGGAAAGCTTTATGTGATCTTCCAGGTATGAAATTGAAAACATCACCTCTCATTATATCATTYAATACTATCTCAGTGTCAATCTCAGATGACATTTTGGTGTGGCYTTTTGACTGTTTTGATACATTCTGGTCTTTGTCAAACTTATGCGTAATGCTATCTAGATTGTTCTGGGCATTAACCATTCTCCTTGCATTCTTTTGGTCAAGCTTTCCCCCAATAGATGAAAAAACAGCTTTAATCTGCCTCACCTCATGCTCTACCCTCAAGTCACAAGGAATGTTATTGCCTTGASCAGATGCTGTGTTGACAAATCTTCCCCATTTTAGTTTATGTGCCATCCGTTCTGACAAAAGAGAGTTTATTAATGCTAAATACCGAAAAGCCTCATAGGCGTATTTGTTTCTGCTTCCTTTTGTTTTAGTTCTTGCTTTAAAAACAAGCAGAAGAACCTTCCAGACCAGTTCTTCTCTATCGCCATCTCCTTCCTTTATGGCATCATTAAATTCTTCATAAAGTAAACCAAGAGAAAGCACAGAGCATGCATAGTTAAAAACAAAGTCATTTTTTTCTTCATGTTTAATTTCTTTTTTAGATGTAATGSCAGATGTGCTATTCAACCATGGGAGGTATGGGCTCTTCTTTTCATCTCTTGGTGTCGTTGTATCAGCATTGACTTGGACTGGTTGAGTTTGAGGTTGATCTATATAAAATAAATTATTATTAAAAGATAATAATTATTTCAATAACTAGTCAATTAATTAGTTATGAAATTTAATCTGCATACCCTATTCATTCGATTAGATTAAAGTGTCTCAAAGTTATGTATAGCTAGCTGTTCATGGTACTAAAATACAAGAAAGTTTCTGCTTTTGATGTTTGCATAAAATAGCATTTACTATTAAGTAAATATGTAATACTGATGAAAAATGTGCATGTCTGTTCAAATTTATAGTAGCAATTATTACCAAGTTATATTTTTAATTTATACTTTCAATGTATAAGTCAAGACTTCTAATTTTTCCATGTTGAATTTGGAATCAACATTCACATTATGTAAAAAAATCATCAGTC